CTCTAACAGAATTTGGGTGAAACTACTATTTACATTAACAAAGACTGTGAAAAACAGGTGCCTCAGAGTTTGGACCCCATGAAACGGAGAAAGTAAAGCCATAAAAGACATGCAAATTTAATTTACCCGTTCTTTTAGAAGACATGACTTCCTCTGCTGATCAAACAGAATATAGGAAGCTATGAGCAAGATAAAGTCATTTGCCTGGTAAATTTTAAGGTCTGCTTTCCAAAGCTAAAGCACCAGTGCTGGTGCCTTGTAATTCCCTGCTAATAAAAGCCACTGCAGAGTTATGAGTGTTATTACAGGCTAAAGTCAGTGACAAAGAAATAAAGATCCATGAAAAAGCACTCCATGTATTTAACATCATGATGGTCCCTTACAAGTCTTTCTTTCACCATGCCAAATGGTTTATCATGGTAATGTTTAGGCACAAAGGCAATTAGAAGGATTTGAAGTCCCTCTGGAGAACTTTGTGACACGCACATCTCCGAGGCTCCGCGGTGACTGACAGCATTTGGCACGGCCGTGGCCACAGAACCACCACCAACAGCGGGGCATGTTCTGACCAGATGTCTTACAAGACATGAGCCAGTGCCAACAGTGAGATGCTGACCTCCTTTTTACAGGCACTGCTAGCTGAAAAAAACAAACAAAAACAACAAAAAAATCCTTCATCCAAGGCAAAATAGAAAATGCAACAAAATATCTTAAAAATTGTAATGTGGGTCTGCTGATAAAATTTATTCTGAGCTGGTGGCTGAGGTTGTAGGGGTTCATTCTGCCACCTCAGTGTACCCTGGGGAATAAAGCAAGTCAAGACTCCCTAACCAAAAAACCCTTGACACAATGTCTTTACCCTAAGTTTTAGATTTCCATTTAGAGTTTACACTAAGCTTTCAGGGTTTTATTCCTCTAATTAATGTCCTTTGTGCTATCACTCACACGAGGTCACAGCCTTCTGAACCACCAGTCTTTACAGCCTTCATTTCCACCTTTGCCACAACCCTTGGCTGAAGCCAAGGCTTTGCCTGCCTCTGTCTCACTTTTAAAACAGGACTAAAAATGCTTCTTCTCCAGATCAGGGCAGCTTAGGTTGGGTACTCTCAGATGCCTCTCCTCCCTTAATAAGCACTAATTAAGGGCATTTAAATCACTTACATTTACCCTTGCTTGGGATTTTTAAACTAATAAATTAGAATTATTTTTTTTTTACCAACTCCAACACTGGTTCTGGCAGAATACAATGCTGGTCTTCCAAAAGGTGTTTTGAGGACAAAAAATTAAATATCTCTGCGGGGCTGCAGTCACTCAGTTAATGTTCCCAGAAACCTAATGTGCTTTTCCTTTTATTAAAGAATATTATTTGTAGTTACCAGTGGAATTTGCTAATAAGCATTAGCAATGTTTATTAATGGCTGATGATTAAATAGAACTACAAGCAAAATTAGCTTATGCATCAAATTTTTAAAAACACAGGGTTTTTGATAGAGAAATTTGGTATTTTTTTTATAGTTGTATGGAGGAAATTCACTGTGTTGATAAAACCCTTAGTACTTCACAGAGGAACAGATCCTCTGGCTCCAAGATATATTTAACAAATACAGGATGTCAGGAATACTCAATGCCCACAAAGGCCCAGACAATTTAAACCCCAAAATTTTTCCCTTTGTTCTGCTATGGCTATAAAACACTTTGATTTTTTTCCCCCTCTCAACATTTTTAAACATAACAAAGAAGAACAACAGTTTCAAATTTTTTCAGATGAAGGGGAACATTATTATAGGCCATTCTTTCCTAGAAATCTTTTAAGTCTTATTTATTAACAGAATTAATCTGATCATAAGCTGGCTGACATACAAAGTGTTGAAATATGTCATCTTCCAACCATGCTTAGCTAATGAAATTTTGGTGTTAATTCAGGGATTTAACAGAATCCTAGAATCTGTAACAGGAATCAAACAACAATTGTGGTTCATCTGGCAAAAAAAGCATAATTTTGCCCCTTTTCTGTTGTGGGTTTGTCACTGTATGCTCTCCATCATCCATTTCTTTCCAGAATCTACTTTTTGATGTGGAGTCCCCACTTGGCCACCAACTCCAGCATTAAAATGCTCTGAACATGCTTTGCAGTTCCAATCCCAGGAAATGTTTTGTGCTTTCAGTCCCAAGATCCAAAAGGATTTAATAAAAAACTAAACTTTTCATAAAAGCCTGAACAACCAAGGCTGGGATTTCATAAATAACCTCAAGGTATCTTTATGATGCCACCAACTTCTCGTTCTGCCCAGTCCAGTAACCAAAAGCAGCAGAGAATTTTGGTAAATGCTCTGACCATTGGAATTACCAAGCTCCAGGCTGCTGTGGGTAGATCACTACAAGGATGCAAGAAACATAATTAAAAAAAACCCCAAAACGTCCTTGAAAGTTTTGTTTATTCTTTTTGACTAATATTTAAGACACTACCTTAAAAAATACTGAGTTGAAGGAGATGCATGCAATTGTGCAATAATAACAAATCAGAAATCTCTTACTAGAAAAGAGAGTCAGGAATTTGAATTAACATCAAAATCATGTATTATGGCATCCACATCTAGATATCACTTTACTGCCTAAATCCAAAACTTCTCTGAGAGCCAGTCGGTTTCTGCAAAAATGTATTTCTCCCTTTGAAAGGAAATAATAATTGGAAGGTCTTACAGGAAGCCACCCAATACCAATAGAGGAAATTGCAATCTGTTCCTCAATGTTAGTTTAAATCAATGTTATATTTAGCAAAGGCTGTTTTTTAATGATAGTATTTTCAATAGCTTTTACTACATTGAGTCTCCTCAAAGGATTACATTATATTAAAAATTGCTTTGTTTGTAGAATGTTTCTTTAATCATCCCTCAAGGTCTTCAGCTTACCCTAGGTTAGATGTCGTTCCCCATCTCCAGGACATCCAGGATTCCATTTTCACCAAAACCCTTTTTTTTCTTTTGCCCCAGGCTAATAAAAAGCAAAGTATTTCTGCATATGCTTGCCTAGAAATATGTGTGGTTCTTAAAAATACGAAGTGATCAAATATTAAAACCACCTTTTTCTGTTTCCAGAAGTATACACAGCATTTTAGCTTCCTAGGAATTTTCTGCTTGGGTATCTGGATTTCAGTAAATTTCCATTAAATCAGTGGTTTCAAAGGAAGGTTTTTTTTTTAAAAAAAGTACAGTATTAATGATACTAAACAAAATTCAAAAACTCCAAGCAAAACAGCTCCTCCAATTTCTTCTCCAAGTTGACAAAATCTTTTAAAACATACTCCCAGCACCAGTGCTAAAAACTCCCTGGGACGCTGCTCAGAAATCCTGTGGAGAATTTCTCAGTGGTTTTTATGGATTTCATTACGTTGTGAGGTAATAACATCAAAATGAAGTTTATAATAGATTTACATGCTGAAGGGTTTCATACCACCTATAATCATTAGTGTTCAAAAACTGGTGTTGCCAACAGCTGAATTATTGCATTGAATGTAATTTAAGAGAATCCAGAAATTCAAGAGTAGCGTTTGCACCAGAAGAAAAATGATGCTTAAGAGTCTAAACTATGTTTTTCCAACATGTAACTCAAGAAGGCACCATGATAACTTGAATTACAGTGTATTTCTGACTCTGAGGAAGATGATTCCGCTGTCATGGGGTTTCTGCAGACCTTGGTGGCCAGTGGAAAAGTGAATTACAAACAGTCCACGTTCCTAAGTGGTAAAAATTCACCTGTACCTGAAAACAAAGTGATTTACCTGTGTTCTATTTGCAGAACCAGGTGATAAAATAACTTACCTGTGGTGATTTTATCTGCACAACACATTAGAGCCAACATTTTTATAGTTACATCTTTCACAGAATGATCAGAAAGAAATTTTTTTTTTCAACAAGCACAGCAATAAAGGCAGACATTTTCCTTAAGAAAATATAATGATAATTAAAAAATTGATGAAAGAAAGGAAAAAGCACACTCTGCAGATGATGAGACATTAATGATAACTGAATGCAAGTCATTCCAGTATAGAGGACAGCATTAACTGCACCATTATCCAATGGATTTCCAACATTTAAAAACTTTTGTGGTATCTTTTAGGTACAAAACAAATGACATAAACTGTAGGAGTTGATTTTTTTCATTAATTTTTACATTTAATAATGTAATTCTTTGGTATGATTAAATGTCTTTACAAAGGAAAAGGAATTTTCTTCTTCTATACAACTTCTCATGAGGTGTTGTCAAACAGAGCAAATGCCAGTTTCAAAATTTTCCTATTGCTCTTTACTGCTCTGAGAAGAAAACATATTTAAAAACTATTTCTGCTCACTTCTACAGGTGAGATTCTCTGCAGCCACTTTGAGTCAAGGTGTCAAAGCAGCAAGAACACAATCTGCTTATTCAGTCTCTTAAAACAATGAGAAAGGCCAAAGAACAGAATTCTGATGCAAAATATGCATAAATCTGTATAAAAATAATATAAAATATGTATAAAACTACAGGTAACAAATACTTTATTCCTTTAACATTCAGCCCAGACTTTGCTTGTATTTTTCAGTGGAAGCTAAGGACAAACTTTCCTTCAATGTAGCCTTAAAATGAAAGTTGGGAAGGTTTATGAAAACCAGGCTGCAGCCCAGGCCATGCTGCTGCCTCACCCTCCTATTTTTCAGCCTTCCTCTCTTTCAAGCCCTGAAAGCACAGCATAAAGGTGCTGAAAATACACCAAAACATCATGGCCAGTACAAAAAGAAAGAGAACAGGAAAGATTCAAGGGTTTGGCTGACGTGGATGGATTAGATTTGCCAAATCCAGGCATAGGATCAGCTAAAGGAAAGGGAACCTGAGTCATCAGCTCCATCAAAGACGAGGTCTGGGGACTTCTGGGCGAGCTCTGTGTGAACAGGAACCATCCCTGCATTCAGAACTTTTAATTACCCTCACCCAGGCAGCAGCATCAGCGACTGAAATCCCCAGATTACCTTGATTGCTCTGTCATTATCTGTCATCAGCTGCTGCTTCTCATCTTCCAACTTCTGTGCAACTTCCTGGAGCCGCTGCTCCGCCGCAAGCTGCTGCCGGCTGTTCTTCTCTGTCAGGGAGGAAATGGTTGTCCTCAGTTCAGCTATCTCCTGAAAAGAAAGCAGCATGTTACAGCTCCCCTCAATACAAGACATGTATTTTGCATGTTTTTTTATATAAACACGGCATTGGGAAGCTCTGCTGTGCAAGCTGGATGTTTGAAATTAGCACACTGCACACTAGCAGGGCACAGAATTCCACGCAGAGAAAAGGAATAGAGCAAGGCTGTAAATGACAAGAACTGCTGAACACAAAATATTTGGAAGTGTTTTCCACTGTGGCATTCCAAAATATTTACTCATGAGAACAAAGCACATCTGTGATCTTCAGACTGGAGCCTGTTCCCCGTCTTGCACCGCTCTGAAAGTGGGAGTGTGAGTTTACATTGGGATGCTGCTGCTCCTTTTCCAGGGGGGATATTTTATAGCTTGATACTGCTGAGAAGAAAAATGCCCACATTCACACACTGGACTGAAATTTAAACCTGACAGTGAAATTTCTGAGCTGCTGAAAGGAGCAGATTTTGCTGAGCAATGCAGCGAGGACTTGACTCCACATCCAGGACCTTCATCTAGACCTTTTAGGTGATTCGCTTGTCATTTGTTGAATTGTATTTGTTTTACCTTTTTCATCACTGGGGAAAGTCATAACTAACCCTGATCCTTTAGGCATATTTACAGAATTTTATACTGACATGTCATCACCCAGCAAAGCACTTAAACACGTGGGAGAGTCACTGACTTTAATGTATATATTCAAGCTTAAGGTTAAGCTGCTGTAGCAGCATATTATAGAATAATTCTAAAAACACTTTAGCACACAGACAATCCAGGGAGAGATGACCAGGGTGCTTAGGCTCTGCCAAACCTCCTCACTGGCAGAGAAACATTTAACTCTATTAAATTACACTGTTATTTAGGAAAAAATAATAGTTAAAAAAACCCTAATAATAGGCCAGGACTAGTGTAAGAAGAACTGTGCTACAAATGAAGGTACGAAAATAAGTGAGAAAGAGGAAAAGGCCTGATTAAAACCCTGTAGTACATTTATTTCTCTTTACCTATCTGAAAGGCCCAGGAATTATGTGTAAAACCTACATCTGTATTTCTGTATTTCTTTTCTAAAAAAAAAAATAAAAAAATACATATTTCAAAAGATAATACCCATCAAAAGGAAGGGGTTTTGAGATCAATATGCCAAAATTTAGAGATTATCTGGGTAGGGTGCAACTCTTTAGCCAGGATGAAGCAGTGTCTCTGGGTTTGCAGCTTAGGTAATTGTTTAGAAGACAGACAATTTGCAGAAATGTGGTTTTACCAGGTGTGTAATGTGCAGGAGAAAGCAGAAGAACGCAATGGATCATATAAATTATTAAGATAATAACTTGAACCCATCCAAAACTACAGCATTTTGTGTATGTCCCATATTGTCATTTTAAAAAGAAAACAAAGCAGCAAACTCCTCAATAAAACACAAACCTGAGATTTAAAGCTTTTACTGGATGAGACTCTGGTCTAGCCCAGGAGTTCTGAAATGCAGGCAAAGAAATTTCAGCAAGAATTGATGAAGAAAGATCTGCTTTGTGCAGTACTTTTCAGAGCAAAAACTTCTATTTACTTTGTATAAACTTCAGAGGAAATTTCTTGAAATATCTTCTCTGTGTGGGTGTTAAAAGTGAAGGTTCCAAGAGGCCACAGAGAGAAAGATTGGACAGATGTTGTCAGCAAGGCGACCACAAGAAAAGTTGCAATCGACCAATTATTAACAGTGAGCTACAAAAAAAACCCAAACCCAACCACGTCCAAGTAACTTGGGGGATTTGATTTAAACCCACACAAGTAAAGAAATTCAGACATCAGGGTGAAACTGTTTTATTGAGCCAAACAGCTCTGACAGATGATGATGTGTTGTGTCTGTCCCAGAAAGTGCTGAGGAACTGGGTCCAGCTCTCCCCAGTAAAATATCCCAGCTACAGCAAAGCCACCTTAATACAGAACATGTCCCCAAACCTTGAGACTATTCTGCAGGGAAATAAATGTCAGCCTGACAAAATTTATTATGACATTTAGGTTAAAGAGTTGTTACCTTGCCCTACACTACCTACAGGTTCCTGCTGTAACAATTAAAGCAATTTCCCTCATCCTTTGCTTAAAAATTCAGAAATGGTTCAGTTATTCCAAGTGTCTTTAACAAATGGACCAAGAACCATTTTTGTATTGACATTGGATTGTGTCTGGCATGGAGAGGCTGCCTTGATTCCACTCACATGTGGGTGACAAAGACAAAAGGAAAAATAGAGGTACCAGTGGAAGGGATCTCTTCCTTCAGGTCTGATATGAATTAAATGTTACTTTTTGAGCTTTAACCATTTCCTGGTTTTCAGGTTCAGATAGAAAGATAAAAGAAAAAAAGAGGTTTTTTTGTTTTCCTTCCTTCTTCCTTTCCTTTCCTTTCCTTTCCTTGCCTTTCCTTTCCTTTCCTTTCCTTTCCGTTCCTTTCCTTTCCTTTCCTTTCCTTTCCGTTCCTTTCCTTTCCTTTCCTTTCCTTTCCGTTCCTTTCCTTTCCTTTCCTTTCCTTTCCGTTCCTTTCCTTTCCTTTCCTTTCCTTTCCGTTCCTTTCCTTTCCTTTCCTTTCCTTTCCGTTCCTTTCCTTTCCTTTCCTTTCCTTTCCGTTCCTTTCCTTTCCTTTCCTTTCCTTTCCGTTCCTTTCCTTTCCTTTCCTTTCCTTTCCGTTCCTTTCCTTTCCTTTCCTTTCCTTTCCGTTCCTTTCCTTTCCTTTCCTTTCCTTTCCGTTCCTTTCCTTTCCTTTCCTTTCCTTTCCGTTCCTTTCCTTTCCTTTCCTTTCCTTTCCGTTCCTTTCCTTTCCTTTCCTTTCCTTTCCGTTCCTTTCCTTTCCTTTCCTTTCCTTTCCTTCCCTTCCCTTCCCTTCCCTTCCCTCCTCTCTCAAAAATTACTAAATTACTAATTTTACATTACTAAATTACTAATTGTACATTACTGGAAAGGTATTTAGGAAACAGAACATCCTCTCTGATTTACCACAGAATCCTGGAATTGCTGAGGGTGGAATAGACCAGTTTAAAGCAATATCACCCAGAGCTGGTTGTTCAGGATCAGCCCAGTCAGGTTTTAAGTATCTCCAAGGATGGAGACTCTACAACTCCTCTGTATGCAAATGTGTAAAAATACAGGTCAGATTTTAGTAATAGAATTTAAGATGTATTTACCAATTATTCTGATAAAGCAGTGTGAAAAAGTGACAGCCAATAAATGTCACCACTGAAGTCACAACTTTGGACAACAGCTACAGAGGATAAGGCTCAAAGGAGCTGAAAAGCTGAAATCAAGAGTTTTAAATATTTTGAAGTGTCAGTAGAACAGTAAAGTTTGCAGTTTCTTGTTATGGTCTTGCTGATCACTCCTGTCTAGTTTAGAGGCTGCTAAACCCTTCTTTGTAGTGTTTTTATTGATTTTAAAAGACTGTTATTGGAGTATTGGCTGCAGACACACTTTGCAGTGCAAGGCAGACACTGCTATGGCTGGGAGCAGTGAGGAGAATGACACCTCCACACAAATCCTCGTGGCAATTTTCTTCTTATTAAAAGCTTAACTTCTGGTTGCATCTCCACCATTTTTCACACTTCAGTACTACCTGTCAGTCAAACTGAAAGCTGAAGTATGTAAAACCATCCAGCCTTACCATTTTTAAGTATATATGTAAATTCAACACTCATTTTCATCTTTTGAGTTCTCTCAAAACCAAAAACACAAGTCAAAACCAGTCTGCCTCCAGACACTGACATTCCTCAAGGTGCTGTCCTGGGCAGAAATGCAGAACTGGTGGGGATCAATGATAAAGATGAAGAAACCTTGGCCTTTAATATGAAATGCAAGTCCTGGCTGTGCAACTGCCCTGATTCTCTGAGACATGCTGGCTGATGGAGCACCTCACCTTCCTTCCCACTGGCTGAGGGAGGACTTGGTCCTCTGGGGTCCTCAGGAGATGAAATTCAGAACTCAAAAAAAACCCACCTGTATTTTCCAGCTTAATGCCCTGTGGTTTTTCAGTTAAGATCTGCCAGAAGACACTGGATGTTTGACTTGGTAACGAGCTATGACTTCTCTTGGTTTTCAAGACCAGAAGTAACTCCACTTTTCATCGAGCTCCCAAGTGGAACAGGTTCACCTGAGCTGTCTGCTGGCCACCTACCTGCGAGCACTTGGCCAGTTTCTGGCGGAACTCCTCCTTGGTGTGCCTCAGCTGGCTGTTGGCCTGGAACACACACAAAAGACAGCCCGTTAGCTCAGACACAGGACGTGCACAGACACTCTGCCACCGGGCCCTGGGCTTGGCACCTCCTCCACATGCCTATCACCGAGCGCCGGCCCCGCGCCAGCCACAACGCCCTTCTGTGGCAGCCAAAAAACCGCCAGGGCTGGGCTTTGATCTCGGGCCAACTATTCATCACTTAAAAGAGGGGAGAAATTGTACCTCTGCTGCCAATTATTAGAAAAACATAAAGAGTTCTGCGGATTAATATAAAAAAAAAAGAAAAAAAGGAGAGAATGAGTGTGTGAGTGTGCGTGTGTGTGTGTGTGTGTGTGTGGGGCAGGGGAAGGAGGCAACACACATAAATGAGTTTATCAGGATGAATTTGTTTCTGAATAGAGGGGGAAAAATGAGGAGAAAGTCCCAGGCAATGTGACATGGGGGATGCAGCTTGACCTCTCAGCTTTGTCCCATTGCTCTTCCCTTCCTAGGGAAAAGTGGGGATTACACTGAAAATCCACCCAAGATGCAGCTGAACTAGCTTGGACATACAGCTCTTTCCTTACCCTAGCTTTTTTTTTTCATAACTCAAAGCTAAAGAATAAACCAAACTGAAAACTAGGCTGCTTGGTCATATCAGAATCCAACCAGCAAATGTTTCTATAACCCGAGGAAAAGTAACTCTTAAGGTTTTTTTTTCCTCAAATAATTTAAGTTCAGAAATAATTTGATAATAGTTACATTAATAAAAAAGTAAACGCAATTTCATTTCAGGAGAGAAACCTGATTTGTATTTTTCTTGCAGAAACCAGCCCAGCCCCACCACGCTGTCCTCAGGTGAACTGCTTGGCGCTCTCGTCTTCTTGGCTCTCAAACTTGAGGACAGGTGTCTAAGACAAATATTTTCTTAGGGGGGACAGAACATCACACAGCTGAGTTCTGAAGCAAATTTAAGCTGATTAAGTTTTCAAAATCTATCTGACCTCCTGCTCAAACCTTTGATCTGTCGTCCTTAGTTTTACGGCACCGCGTCCAACGCCCAAATGCCAGCTCCCGCCAGCCCCTCTTTGGGGGAACCAAAAAAACCCACAGGGGCCCCCAAAGCCTCTGAACCCTGTGTGCATCCAGCTCAGGCTCCATTTCTGCAAACACCAGGGATTTCAGGCAGGCAAAGAGTCTTATTGATTTTACTGGGCTATAAAATCGAGGAGCTTAGAGCCACGGAGCATTTGCGGATCGTCATGGTAGGGCTGGAATCATCCTCGGCAATCCGGGCAGCTCTGTAAGGTGCAGCTCAGCATAAGAATATTACAGCCAGTTCAAAGTAATCCTAAACTTTACATGAAATTGCAATTTCAGATCCTCAATCCCTTCAAATTCCAAAATTATGAAACATATGGGTGTCTCCATCTGGTTGTTGGTACTGAGGAATCTACTAAAAAAAGTTATCAAAACCAATTATCAAATTTGTGCATCATTTTTGAGATAACATTATGGCTTGGTTTGGTTATAGACAGAGATAATGGCAATACACTTTGGTCTGAACCAGCATCTCGAAGAATTCTGGAGCACCAGACAAATTAAATTTCACTTTTTCTCTATTAATCACTCAAAAGTGAACCACAACCACTGTAAGGGCCCACGGTGGGGGTGGATAAATAAAAGGAATGGTGACACAGCAGCAGTTATCCCAGGGAGCTCTGTCCATGCTCTGTTTCTCTTGTACTTGGGCTGACCCACATTAACACTTGTTCCATTGTACTGCAGCCTTGTTTCAGATGATGTCTTACCACCACTGCATGTCATAAAGTGACTGAAACCACCAGTTTATCTTTAGAGAAAAAAAGTAAAAAATAAATTACAGCAATAGCATAAATTACTGTTACTCCCAGAAAGGGAGAGGGACTTGTCAGCAAGGCACTGCACAGATCACGTTACAGCTGCTCTCGCTCAATTTGCCTGGGGTAAAAGTCCTCATCTTTCATAGAAGCAGCTTTATAACCTCCTGAACCCACAGAAGAAATCCCAATAAATAATAAAAAGCCACTCATGAGTTCCATAAACAAATTACAATTTGTTTGCTCGCACTGAGTGGAATCAGGCTGACCTCTGAGAGACAGGACAGAGGTGATTCAAAAGAAAGATACTCTGAATTTCATTGTTTTATTCCTAACTAAAGGCAAAGAAAGGATATCCTAACAGTTTACTTAAAAGGAATTGAAACATTTTATTTTATAATGGCTTTAACAACTTCCAGTTAACAAAATATTTATAAGCTTTGTCTCCCAGTCACCAACAAACCATAAATTCTTGCATTTTCTTTCAGTCCCAAATATTTGAGTGGTCTGAATTTCAGAGGTACTGAGCTCCCAAAGCTTTCCCTGGAGATGGCACAAGCACAGCTAGATTGGCTCTGGTTGTCTAAAACTGATAATACTAGCCCTGTGGCACTAAAAGCTATGGACAGTCCCTGCCAGTACCTTAAAGGGTCTTACAGGAAGGCTGGAGAGGGACTTTGCACAAGGGCATGCAGTGATAGGAGAAGGGGGAATGGCTTCCCACTGATGGAGGGCAGGTTTAGATGGGATTTTGGGGAGGAATTGTTCCCTGTGACGGTGAGCAGGATGGCACAGGGTGCCCAGAGCAGCTGGGGCTGCCCCTGGATCCCTGGCAGTGCCCAAGGCCGGGTTGGACACTGGGGCTTGGAGCAGCCTGGGACAGGGGAAGGTGTCCCTGCCATGGCAGGGGTGGCATGAGATGGGCTTTAGGGTCCCTTCCATCCCAAATCATTCCATAATTCTGTGGCTCCTGCTGACTTCAGCTTTTCCCTGAGGTCTGTAACACCCAGCAGCTCTTGCATCATCACAAACCACAGGAGCAGCTCTGATGAAGGCAGAGACCACAATTTACAGCACAGAAAAGATCCAGCTCATGGGGCTGCCTGGGCACCCTCTTTTCCACTGCCATCTTTCAACTGCTGAAATATGAAGCTTTGCCTTTCTTAAAACCTGCAACTAAAACTAATTTAGTACCTCTTTATACAGGCTGTTGGTTTGCAACCAAGGGAGACATAAACCACCTTCCCTGGGGCAGAGATAGCACTGCTAGACACAAAAAACACCTTTTTACTCTTTTTTGTTCTAAGACATGAGTAAATACACACAGAGCTGTGTACAGGGAGCATCAAGGGGGATTTATATCACATTTATCTTGATAAATGAGAAGGTTCACACTGGTCTGGTGCAGTTTCCTGGGTTCCTTCTTTTCCAGCTGGCTGCTGGGTGCATGTGCTGGAGGAAGCACAAGCTGTTTCTGAATTATTTTAAGGGCATTCCCTCCCTTTCAGGTTAGGTGCTATTTCAGAAACATAATGAATAAGAATCCAAGTGGAAGGTGAACATTTGGAGGGTCAGCCAGTGTTCATTAAAGTCAAGCTCTTTTTATAGCAGTGGGCAGCACTGCAAATAGAATTAATGGTCTGAAACCCGTTTTCCGTGTGTGAGAGGTGGCTGCTGAAATCCCCCACTTGGCAGAAGCGTGTCAGAAGTATCAACTGGAATATCCATTTTTATAATGAAAAAGGTTTAAATTGGATAAGCTGCAGAGGAATTCCACTGATTCAAAAATGAACTCCTGTTTAGTTTCACACAGTTAATACACATTTTAGCTAAAATTATCTGATTATGACGATTTTACATGCGGTTGTTTTATATTACGGAGGACTTCTGCATTAAAAAGATTATGTCCTTGTTGCAGTTAATTGGTTTTAAAAACCAAGTCTAATTCTTTAAAAAGCCTTAAAGCATCATATTGTGGTTGCCGAGCAAAACTGCATTGACTTCAACAAAACATTTCACGTAAAAATTAAGACCCATTATTAGCACTCCAGATGTGGTGTCTGAATTAATGGATGCTCTTCTAACACAGCCCCATTTCACTTTCTCCTTTCATGAAACACAGCAGCATCAGTAAAAGAGCACAGGATCTATGAGAGCATCACATCACAAAAGCAAACTGTGTCCTGCCCTATCACCAGGTGTTTATAAGCTGTTTTGGAGGTGTGAGGTGTATCACAGGGAACTTTTAGTTCCAGTTCCACTCGATGGAGCACATGCCCTGAACAACCCCAAGGTCTCTCCTGGGTCCATCCCTGCACTCTGGGGTTGGCAGCCACGTGGACAATTCCATCCTGCAGCAACATCCATGGAGGCATTTGGGATGCCTTGGATATTTATCAGAAATGAAGCTGTTCAGAATCCTCGAAACGTTACAAATCTGTGCATTCTGTAAGATACTGGGGATAAATTCTTCCCTGTGAGGGTGCTGAGGCCCTGGCAAAGGGTGCCCAGAGCAGCTGGGGCTGCCCCTGGATCCCTGGAAGTGTCCCAGGCCAGGCTGGACGGGGCTTGGAGCCACCTGGGATGGTGGAAGGTGTCCCTGCCATGGCAGGAGTGGCACTGGAAGAGTTTTAAGACCCCTTCCAACCCAAACAATCAGGGTTTAGTGATGGGCTTGGCAGTGTTGGCTTTATGGTTGTACTCAATGACCTTAGAGGTCTTTTCTAACCTAAATAATTCCATGTATTCTCTATCTTTCAGCTTTGGAAACTGCTCTCATAACTAGAGTTTTATACATATATACAGACACAAACAACACCACATTCACTGATAAAGAAGCAGCAGATTTAAGAACTTTTTAGGGTAGTAGCTATGAAAGAATCGTTTTTCAAAATGCCTGCAACTAGCTAAAAGTGGCCATCCATATGCTGATCCTCCATAATTAGTTAGATAAAAGTGTAAGCAAACTTTAAAAAAAAAAAAAAAAAAAAGAAGAAGGGGAAAAAAAAAAGGAGGAAAAAAAAAATCAAAGGGTGGGGGAGAAGAAGAAAGAAAACTTGCTCCAGGGAAGAAGCAACTGTTCTCTGATGTGCAGCAAGGAATTTAACATCAAAGAACTAATGTAAATGGGGCCCATTTACCTCAAAAAACAACACACCACTCCAC